GTCTTTTACGGAGAATGAGTGGATTACTGGATTATTTGAAAAAGAAAAATCATCCATTATGTCTTTTATCTACTTAGAATCCGTAGATCCACTTTGTTTCTCTTAACGAAAATTTACATAAATTCTCATTCAAAAATGTCATTAATACTCTGTCTTGATTATAAAATAAAACTCGTAATTTTCTCTCTTTTAATCTACCGTTGTTACGTTCCGAGATGACGGAACGCTTCGCTGAAACGGAGTTTGTATCGGATAACAAAGGTTTCTCGATCGTCCATGAGTAATAATTCTCGGAGGACGATAACCTGGCAGAGATTGGAAACGTGCGCGCGCGCGAGGTTTTCGAGACACCCAGTGCAGTGACGTAGAACGCCATAAACAGCTGAATATATAATATATTGTCGCGCCGTCTGGTATCAGTCGCGTTATCTCACCCGATAACAGCTCTGTAAAAGATAATCAGCGATCACGAACTGTCGCGTTATCGCTGTTATTCAATGCGGTGTACGAACTGCCTGCGTGCGCTTTATTAAAATATTTTCAATTGCCTAGGCTAATAGACTCGAGGATATCGCGTCGATCGCAATGATAATCGCAGAAATATGTCTCAGAAATAGCTGATTATTTTCTTCATATCAAGGATACTTTATATATCATTATTGACAGAAATCTGATCTGTCTCTGTGGAAAAATATTGGCGGTTATCTCGCGATGGCGGGGGACACGGGGTTACATCGTGTTACCATCGTGAAAATGCTATTGTAACGAAGTAACCGTGGAAAAAAACCCATCAGAGAAGCGGGATTTGCTTATTTTTCCTGTCGAGCTTTTTTTTTATCCTTGAGGTTACTGTTTCCGTTCAAAAGACAGCGTTCACGTTTTACGTATACGCGAGTTCCGATAAAAATAGATTATCGCTGGCAAAGATTGGGGTCTGGAAATAAACGCGGAGATCTCGTGAGAGAGAGAGAAGGAGAACCTTTGAGATCCGGAGAAATTCCGCTTGTTTTTTGATTCGGCCATCGATTATTGATCTTTATAACTAAATGCTTGCTAGATCTGCTCGACAACGTATTGCTCGATTTATACATCGCGAAAACAATTTAAATAACCCGCGAATGAGAGCATTGCATATTTTAACCAGGAACTGAAATAAAATTTCCAGCGAGCTCTCGATTTTTAGCATTGCAAACATGGGAAATGTTTAGCTTCACGTATAAGAATAAGAATAACGTGTGTAATCGAGATAGTTTACATATGAATTTTGTATTGAATTTAATAATGTCACAAATTTAATCAATTTAATAATTTTATCATTTAAATAAAAAGTATTGTATTTCTTGTTAATCTTCATTTCGACAAATCATTCGTTGCAGTTAATCCATTATCGAGATTTCATTTCTCTGGATGATGTTATAAATTATCTCGAAACTCGAAATCAACTATATTTCTCGCGTTTGTATCTACGTTATTCTTCGCTGTCATTCATCATTGGGGGTTTACAACGAACGGATGCTCGCGCGTGCTGACATCAGTATCGTTTTTCTTAATGGAAACCAAATCTCGCAAATGGACGTAGTTCCATGGCAATTTAATTTTTTATTATTATACTTTGTGGGATGCTCTGTTGTACTTGTTCTAAAAATTTTCAAACGTTTAAAGTATTGCTAACGTCAAGTTTTAGTTATTTACTTTTTACTTCACGAAAACCTAGTACTGATTTAATAAATTAATTATAATCTGACCTTAAATCACTTTTATCTCTTGAAATATGTAATTCATGATCCCGCGTTTATTACGTGTAAGATATTGCGTCAGCTCGAGCACTATTTCCGTAATATTCCATACTATACAGATTCCACCGACTTTCTCGTTAAAGATTTGCGAGCAAATCTTTCCGCGATTCGTTCTCTATATCTCATATTCTCACTCAAGCTCGTATCAATAATGGATTGACGGTGGTAAATGGAGGAGAATGAGATCGCGGTTCTCCTAGTCCGACGTTCACCGGCTCGAAACGCTCAGAATTAAACCGAACGTGATCCGTTGGGTTGTTTGCGAGAGAGCATCTCGTTTCGCGAACGTTAAGCACGTACGTTACGTCAGTCAGTTTCCGTGCGGCAACGTCAGTTGCGATCAATCATGCGGCAAGAGGCGACGGCAGATACGGCGACTGGCCTGTTTGATGACCGGCCAAAGCGCTCGCGCGCGCACTCACGTTCGCGTATACGTGCGACAAGGAGCTAGGTCGAGACGTTCGGGGAGGAGAAGGGCGAACCAGAAAGAGACTTTGTTCTCATATTCATGCGCCGGGCGTAGCGTTCCGCGCGTCGTCTACCCCTATATCGAAACAGATCGAAATCAGAGGCGATAAACGCGCCCGAGTAGCGAGATTCAGGTATCCGAATAGGAAATTTTTTTCGAGGCTCCGTCCACGTTTGCGAAGATAATCCCTTCGCGTATCGAGACACGTTATCCCCGGACAAATTTAGTCGTGGGTGAAACAACGATTAAACCTAAAATCGAAATGAAAAATGTTTCATCAGGTGCGACAAAAAAAATGTAATATTATAAAATGTGAACGTTCTAGAGATATTAAATAAAAGTGGCTTCAACACCAAATTTGTCAAACAATATGTACACTATTTTATTAAGTCATTAATTTTTGATTATTTGAAGATAAAGATTACAAATTAGAGACAACGAATTATGTAGATAGAAATATTGCTGTAAGCAGTTCTGTCGGTCGAATTAATCGTCGGGTTTGATCAAAGTCGCTCTAACCGCGCAACATCACGCTGACAGAGTTGAACATAAATATTAACAAGATCCCGCTCGATGACCGAGAACCGTCAATATTTATTTATTCTGTGTCACGTGAATATATTATTCACATATCACG